AACTTTAAGACTTGTGGACTTCAACTCCCAGAATTCCTCAGCCAGCTGGCTGAGGAATTCTGGGAGTTGAAGTCCACAAGTCTTAAAGTTGCCAAGGTTGGACACCCCTGACCTAATTCTTTGCTGTTTGAATTTAGTTTTATTTTTCCATTCTGAAAAACAAGATAGGGGTGTTAAGCTTTTGAAAAGCCCAACCCACCTATTTGATTATAGAATTTATTTAAGGAAGTTTAGACATTGCACCACTGTAATTGAGGCCAGATGGGGAAGTGGGAAGTGACTATAGAATAACTGGATTTGGGGCACACAGCTTGTAAAATGTTACTGCTCAGTTATTAGGATATTGCTATTTTTAGTTTGTTATTTTTTATGAAGATAGTAATATTGTATTATAATACAATCCTGTAAATTCAAGTGAGGGATGATTTAATTTAAACAATGTATAAATCATAAATGTAAAAATAACAGATGACAATTGTTTCAAGCAAGCTTTTCAATCAGCAAAAAATCCTAAGAAGTTAGTTGGAACAATAGTTTTCATTCTGTATCTAGAAATTAATGGTTGCAGGGCCTGACACACCTTTGTAGAAAGCTATTATATTATCCAGATATGACATTATTAAAAGTTCTTACAGGCTTTTCACTTTCAAAAGCAAAAGACCACGGAGGAACAATTTGGATGTCAAACACACAGTTATCAAAAGGTGCAGCTTTTATATGATTAGGGCTTCAATTTATTGATCTGACTGAGAAAATCAGCATTTGTTTGTCTTTCCCCTTTTTCAGTTTTCCTTTAGCGATGGACTTTCTCTCAGGCTATAGCAGAGGGGAAAAAAATCTCCACTGAATTAAATTATCACAGGGTTGTGTATGTTAAAAAAAAGTCAAAATGGTCACCACATGCATGCAATTCAAATCATGTGTATCATCATGTACGTGAAAAAGGTTGCGACTTTGACTGCATGGTTGTGACTTCCATCTTGATATTTTGACCTCTTCTGGGTCTAACTGGCACCAGTTTGTGCCTCTTTTCTATGAACATTAAAAAAAATAATCAGCCCAGTAGTAATATGGACCATTTGTTCCATGTCTTTGCAATCCGTAGGCAAGGAGGACATGAATTTTTTTTCTTTGATTGATTCTAATCTTAAGAGAGCGTTAGCTCCAGCTTGTTGACCAGTACTGTCAAAACGCTCTTCTGTAGAGCAAGGGTGATATTATTAGAGGGGGAAATTCATTTTCTTTCCAGTCCAGGAGTTTAGTTAGAATTTGTTTGATGCTAGCTGAATCCACGCGTCAAACCACTTTCCTCCCACTTTTGCATCCATATGTTTCAGAAGGGGTGTTTTCAGTCCCTTGGTTGTGGGTTACAATATGTCAGAGGAGAATGGTGCTTCCTTTTTCCAATGAAAATAACATGTATTCTCTTGAGCTTTTGCAACAGCCACGTGAAGCACAAGAGGTCATCTATTACAGAGTTCCCTTTTAGTTCTGTGGCAATTTGTGGGTCTTTTTTCTTTGCTCTTTTTCTTTTTTCTTTTTCACAGCCGATGGAAAGTGTTATCTCAGGCAGTTTTGTGCAGGAAGTTCTCTTTATCACTTCCTCCCAGTTGCAGTTTGCCTGGGACTTAAATATTAGATCAGCTTGCAGTGAAATGTGGACCTTTGTGTACTTAAATCATCAAACGAGGAGATTCTCACCAGACTTGATATCATTGGGCTGCACCCGCAGCCATGTAACAAAACACATCTATCTTAAGAGTGCAGGGTGATTTCTGTTGGTTAGGCAATGAAGTTAACCCAGAGAGGGGGCTGCTCGGTTTGTGAGGATGGCAGGTATCTGTGCTGTTTCACTTCTTGTTTTCATATTTATCACATTTTATCATATTTAAAAAAGAAAAGCAATATGACTGGCCCAATTTACAGCAAAAACCAAAGTGTTCAATCTACATGGTTTAAAAAGAAATTCAACTTTCACTTTGAGTAGCCCCACTACCCCTTCTTTTCCTATTAAAAAGAATTTTTTTCTGTTTGAGTCTGTTGGCTTGGAGAAATTCCAATTAATTTATTTTTTATTCAAATAGGTTTCTATGAAGCCTCAGCTCTGGGTTCAGTAGTTGAGGAAGACATGATAGCCTATAGGAGAGGCCATAGAGAAGATTTAGAAAGCTGTTCTTCCTTGTTTGTGGTTGTTTCTATCCCCCCTCCCTTCTATCAGAGAAGTTCTCTCTTCCTATCGCAGGCTTGCATTGCCAGATGCTAGCTTATATTACCAGCCACAGGAAACCCATTCAATTGTGTAGTGGAGCAATACTTCTGCTTCAAATCAGAGGCCTGGTTTATGCCCTGCTGATTTTGTTATTTTTCCTATTTTTACTGTACTCTTAGCTCTCTAATCAGAAAGAACAGCACAATGGTCTTAAGTTGTTTTCCACTTTCAAGAATCCTGTAAATCAGTTTTCCCTAACCTGGTGCCTTCTCCAGGTCATAGGGTTGTAAAATACAAACTCAGACGTTTTTAGCTAATGTGGATATTGTACTCCCACACATTTGGAGAAGACTCTGTATAGGACACATTGTCCAAACCTTGGTAGTGTAAGGTACAGTATTTTAAAAGAATAAATTCTGAGGGGATACTTCTTTGTTTTAAAAAAACATCATATAGTGTTTTCATAAAATAGCACCAAGACAGAAGGACAACTGTCTTCTAGCTTGAAATACACTCTAGGATTGGTTTTCAGGCCTGAAAATTTGAAAACTTGTGGAAAACACTTATGTCCGGAAAAAAGTGAGATCTTCTTAGGACCATCATGATAATTGCTTGGTGGCTAGCTTCCCACATTGTGCTAAGCTATGGTTTGTATAACCATGTTTTGATAATAAAATGTTACTCAGTTTACACAGCACAGTACGTTGAATCATATAATATGGTTTACAAATTATAATAGCTGGATTCACATATAGTGCCTTAAGTTGTAATACGATTGGATGGATCATATTTTATAAAGTCAATAAGGATATGTCCATACATGTGAGAGAGCAAACACTTAGACTCACTTTTTAATCCAGCAACCTATTTTAAGGCCAGTTCTTACATCAGGATTACAACATGCATGGTGGTGAGTTGGTGAGATCTTAAAGTTGCCAACTTTAAAAAATACCGTCTTGCATTATCAATGTAAATCTAGAAAATTTAGCTGGCATCAGCATTTAGCTTCTCTGCATCTTGTGAAGATCAAAGCTGCTTGGCAGTGCCTGTTACTAATCTTATCCTGCCGATTGCTTGATAGATACTCAGTGATCAGCACTGAAACATTTCCATTATACGAAAAGTAAATGTTCATCTTGTTGTAAACCATGCAGAATCACTTAGGTGATATAGAAATTTAATAAATAAAAAAGGCTTGGGGATGTTTACGGTGACATCATTATTATCACAGCATGGGAAGGCAGTCAATGAGAGAAACTGTTGGTAAGCCATGGGTACAAAGGATTTCTTAAACCTAGGGTCAACTCTGCAGTTGGTTGTAAGAATGGGAATTGTTCAGCTGCCCATCCTGCTGAGCAGGTCCATTCGGTGAGTTGTCATCTTTTTCTACAGCTTTCCATCTGTAGCTGAATCCAATTCAAGGGAACAATGGGTCTATATCCAGATGGCCAGTACTAGATTAGCCATATACATTAACCTTACTGTAATGGCCTTTGAGAATAACCTTGAAAGACAGAAGAGCTGCAGCCGGAACAACAGCGAGACAAGAGATATCTCAGCCCACAGCAGGAATGGGAGTGGAGAAAACATCTCAGAAAGGATTCTTCTTAATTGTCCAGAAAGGGAAGGGAAGGGAAGGGAGAAATACTTTCTGTCTTGTAACATTCTGTTATTGTAACCTCATTGTAACCTTACTCTCACCTCTCATGATTTTGTTTTCTTGTCTGGACTACTTTGAAGAGGTAATATTAATCTTATCTCTATCTGTCTGCCTGTCTATCTAAAGGTAAAGGAGACCCTGTGGGCTTTACTCCACTAGTTGTAGCTGACTTTAAGGAGTGGTGCTCATTTCTGTTTCTTTAAGTCATTGATCCAGTGCTGTCCAAAGAGTTTCCTCGGTCATGTGGTCAGCATGACATCATGCTACAGCATAAAGTGTATGGTGAAACATGGAGTGCTGTTACTTTCGCACTTAAGTGGTACCTATTTATCTATTAGCATTTACATGCTAAGTTGACAGGTGTTGAGACAAGTGACAGGAGCTCAGTTTGTCATGTGGTGACAGGACTCAAACTGTCAAGAGTACAGAACTTCTCTGGTGTCTTTTTTGCCATTGACCCACCATGCCTCTGTTCTGTCTATTTAAGCAGATATAAAACATTGTAAAAGAGAACAGTTTCCTTGAACAGAAAGAGATTACTTAATCTACTTACAGTATATTAGCTGTGATGTTAAGAAAAAAACAAAAGATTGGCATGATCTTTGCTAGATATATGACAGACAAAGAAAGATTGGTAAATTATCTTTAGTTGCATATTAATTCCTCAGGCACTTTAAGGATTTTGACCAGAAAGGTGGACTAATAACACCAAATTGGGAGGTGGGAACTACAATCTTCTAAGAACCAAGGTGTGATGACCCAGAGTATATCAGAAATATAACAAAAAACAAAATGTAAATAAAAGTCCTTTAATGCCTTCAATTTGGCTTCACTGTTTAATTGTTCACAGTGGAGGAGTAAACTATTTTCAAAATAACATTTCAAAGGAAAGAAACACAGTTGAAATTCAAAGAGCCAATAATGAAGCAAAAACCAAAAACAAACCACACTGAATAAAGTTCCACAACAGACTAGGATAGATAATTGCCAACTTCAGGAAGATAACCAGGTACAGTCCGTTGGAAGAACACCAACCAAGATAAACCTTCTTTAGGAATAAAAGACTAATTTGTCTCCAGCATCTGTTAGCATGCAGGTCCAAACTCTTATGCAAATCTCACACCTGCAACCCATGAAGAGGATCAAGGCCCTCTCCTCCCAAGTAGACCACATTTTACCCTGATCCTCTCCTTCCTGCGTGCCCTAGGATGGATAGGGGATGGGCCTGGGTCCTCCTCTGACTGCTCAGCCAGCCTCTGCCCTTCCCCAGCCTCCTCCACCACCTCTGAAGCCACACTTCCACTCCCTGTTGGTTGTTCCTCCTCCTCCTCAGAGTCAGTCTCCACCAGGGTCATGACACAAGGGCTGTTCTTATAATTATTTGGGAAGCCAAATCTGTAAAATGGAGCCACATTTTATATTCAATTGAGTTTGGAGGATAGCTCCTTCCTTCCTGTTACCTGTTTAGGATTGTCTTCATCTGTTTCCCAATTCAGAATCCTCAGAAACTGCACCTGTACCTGTACCTAGTTTTAGCATAGTGAGCAGAAAAAAGCTTGGAAGACCACAAAGTCTTCACAGGTAGTCCTGAGGCTGTTGGTTGTCATCATGCAGTCTGCATGGTTTTGTTTAGCAAGTTATAAGACTCTTACAGAACAGGATGATACCCAGTCTCTATTGCTTTCACTGGTTTCACCTGAACAGAGACTAATATTCTGAGAGCATCTGATCACATTATTAACTTCCTTTCTACATGGGACCTTGCCATGTAGAAACTGCTTTTGAATGTTGTAATGGGCAGGTTCTTTCTGATGGTAAGGTGATGACTATGTTTTGCAGGAGAGCAGTGGTGGGATTCAAAAAGTTTTACCACCAGTTCAGGGGGCGTGGCTTAGTGGAAAATATCTTTAAAATAACTGTTAGATTTCTTTCTCCTACAAACATTCTGAAATGGAAAGAAGTACACAGATGACAGGCGGGGAAATTGAAATGGCAGATCACAAGAATTGCCTACTAAATATTTCAGTGACAAGTCATATGCTGATTGTGATCTGTTGTACTATACTGTGCAACAGAAACCACATGCTCCTAAAGTCTATCCACAAAGTGCTTCCTTTCGCAGTTTGGTAAATGTGGCCTATCTACAAAAGCTGTGAAGTGTTTCATATGTGGCTCTCCCCTTATGTAATTGAACTTAGTTTTTATTCTTGTGTCACATCAAGTTATCGAATCATTTCTTTAATGTAGGTTTCAAATCCCCATCCCTGCAGCAATTGTGCTGATAGCTCCTTTTCAAATTCTTTGAACGTCTGTCTTCTGTTTGTACAGGTTTACATCATTTCTTTTAAACAGTAGAATGTTTCTATTTTGTCTTAGTAGCTTTTGATTTCTACTCCCACCTAATAATGTATGCATGTACACCTTCAGGAAACATTCTGATCCATTAAAAATCATTCGTAGAATGACGAAAGACATCACTGGGATCTGATTAAGTTCTCATTGTTGTCCTTTTACATCACAAACCTTTCTCTCTGTAGTTTTACATGTGGCAATGGGGAAATTGAAAATATTTCACGTGTCCAATTGCGTTGCAAGTTCTACAGGGACATCAGATCAACGTACATTCTCCCTGTATTAGAGAGATTTCTAGGGAGATCAGATAATTTCTATGTGAACCATCTTCTTCAGGATTCAAATCCAACCACCCCTCATGCTGT